ATGACTTTGAACTAATTCTACCAATAATTGGACCCATCTCAGATTCAATGATTCCAGAAGAAAGCTCAGGCCACACAGTGTCAACAGCACCCTTTAAGATCATCACCATAACCTCAGTCATGCCAGTGGTCAAGGAGCAGGTGTGTAGAACAGAGCTAACAGAAGACCAACACCTTGCCGTGTATACAGTCTCTAACCACTCCACCTGTGAGAATGACAGCGTGACTGCACCTCTGACCGCCCACGGCACAGAGGAATTAACGACAGAAGAGGGTTTTGAGAGTTTTGAGATACAAGTCCAGCACATTCTGAAAGATGCTGATGCCATCCAGGAGGATGCAGAACTCCGCCAACTCCGCCATGTCCTGTACAAATACAAAGAATCATTTGCCAAGGACTCTTTAGATTGTGGCCTCACTAACTTCCATGTTGTGCATGTCCCAACGCACCCAAAAGCTCCACCCACTTTTGTCAAGCAATACAAGATCCCCCTCGAATCGTACAAACCAGTACAGGAGATCATCAACTCTCAGCCGTTCGAACTAATCAATTGAATGAATGATTCGGTGATAAAATCAGAGACTTGCCGCCACCTGCTGGCAGTTTTAGTTTAATTTTTAAAGTATCTTTTCTGTTATTTAAATCATTTAATATTTCTATATTCAAAATTTTATATTTAAAACATTAACCTCAACATGGATGTATGAATTTAATTGCACTCATGCGACCTCTGAGCTTCATTAAACGTCTGAAAATACACCTACAAGCCACTTGTGTGTTCTTCTGTGCCAACTCTGTAGCACAAATTTATTTCTTAAATACTGATTTCATTTTATTGGTAACTTATTCTTATTCTACTTGTTTTTATTCTGTTGTTTTAATTAGAAATGTTAAAAAGTTTATAAATATATATTTTTTTAATTTGACATAAAAGATTACATACTTTTAATAAAGTTAGAAAAATGCCATTACAAAGGTAAAAACTAAATTCCCTGTAAATCACTTTAAGGAGTCAAATATCACCTCATAATGGGAAGGTTAATTTTTTATCAGAATTTTTGATTACTGATTAGAAGGTGCTCCTAAAATTTTGACCATGCTCCTAAATTTTTTAAATTAGGACTACAAATGCTCCTAAAAAGAAAAGTAAGCGTACAGTAGGGTTGTGACGGTGAGGAAATTTTCCCACCGGTTAATCGACGTGTGACAACACCGGTAATACCGGTATCACCGCGGGGGCAGGGCGGGGGCGTTCCCTCTTTTCCTTCGCTTTTAAATAGCTGGTAAAAGCGGCGTGAGCATTTTACTTTCACTTTGAAATAGCGGCAATTCGGCCTAAAGCAATTGTTCGTTTTTAGTTCGTTTGAAATTTCCCTCTTTTCCTCACTTTCCGTCGCTTTTAAATAGCTTAAAACCGCCGTGCTCATTTTACTTTCAAATAGCGGCAGTTAGGCGTCAATTGCTTGAATGCAACAACAAAATACAACGTCAAACTCACTTAAGCCTATATATAAAACATAGAACTTTTATTAACAAAACAAATA